CGAGAACTCAAGCACCGGCCATTGTGATGGTGTGGCCCGCCATAACAGCCGATGGTCGCTCTCAGCTTGTATTAATCGACCGTGGCATTAGAATAATGCCGAATATTATCGCGAAAATATTCTGGAGGGTGTATTAAAGCCTTGGGCACGCAAACATTTTGGCCGCAGACCTTGGACATTCCAACAGGACTCAGCACCGTCGCTCTCAGTACGCGCCACCCAAGAATGGTTACAAAATGAGGTTCCTCCCTTCATTTCTAGCGCGCACAATGGCCACCAAAATCTCCGGATACCAATCCGTTTGACTATTGCGTCTGGAGTATTTTGGAAAGCAAGGTTGGCATTAAGAAATTCCAAAGTGTCGATCACCCTCAAGAAAATATTCTGGAGGGTGTATTAAAGCCTTGGGCAAAACATTTTGGCCGCTGACCTTGGACATTCCAAAATGACTCAGCACCAGCACCATCGCACTCAGCACGCGCCACCCAAGAATGGTTACAAAATGAGGTTCCTCGCTTCATTTCCAGCGTACAATGGCCATCGAAATCTCCGAATACCAATCCGTTTGACTATTGTGTCCGGAGTATTTTGGAAAGCAAGGTTGGCACTAAAAAATACCAAAGTGTCGATCACCTCAAGCAAGCGTTTCGCCGGGATTGGGCCAAAATACCGTAGAGCAACATTCGGGCAGCGTGTGACGGTTTCATTGGCCGTTTGAAGGCCATAATTCGTGCCAAAAGTGACCAATTCGAACAAATCTAAACTTATTCTATAATTCGATGCTATTTCCGATATTTTTGCTTTCATTTAATAAAATTTAAAAACAATGAAAAATTATGGGTTTTGACTTTGTTGCCATTTTTTATCTCACCCTGTATAATAGATAAGTACTAATTTCTTAAGCTCTGAATTTTAGGTGTTTTGTCAACTTTTTGCAAAATATTTCAGTTTGAAACGGGTTATCCACGGTGTAATCGTGTCATCCGCTTTTTTTATACCCTACATCACAAAGTGATAAGGGTAATATGTCTTTGTGCATTTGTTTGTAACATGGCGAAGGAAGCGAGATAGACCCATAGTTACTTTTGAGGATCTCCATAGAATCACTTTCTGAGTTGATTTATACATGTCAGTCCGTCTGTCAGTCCGTCCGTCCGTCTGTTCATGTATTCTTGTGAACAAAATGCAGGTCGCATTTATTATCCGATTGAGATGAAATTTTGCACAAATGATTTGTTTGGCCCAAGGACGAACCCTATGGAAATTGGTGATAATCCGTAAACATTTAGATATAGCTCCCATATATATCTTCGTCCGATTTGCCTTTTATTGTGCACCAAACGTGTAATATCAGCCCGAATAATATGGAATTTTGCAAATACAACCAAATTAGGCCTGAAAATAAGTATGCCAAATTTGATCGAAATCGGTTCAGATATAGCTATAGCTCCCATATATATTGTTCATCCGATTTGTTATTTTTGTCCTCCGCAGCCGTAATATGCACTTTGTAACAACAATATTTGGAGAAATATGTCAAATGCAGCTCAGAAATACCTTTGCTAAATTTTATCGAGATCGGTTCAGATTTGGATATAGCTTCCATATATAACTTCATCCGATTTACCTTTTATTGTACACCAAATGTCTAATATTTTTCCAAATTGAATGAAATTTGGCACATACGACCGAATTGAGTTTAGAAGGTAGTATGCCAAATTCGGTGAAGATCGGTTCAGATATAGCTATAGCTCCCATATATATTGTTCATCTGATTTGTTGTATTTGTTACCCACAGCCGTAATATGCACTCTGTAAAAACGATATTGAGGGAAATATATTAAATACAGCTCAGAAATATATTTGCAAAATTTTTTCGAGATCGGTTCAGATTTGGATATAGCTCCCATATATATTTTTATCCGATTTCAAATTAATTGTGCACCAAATGGGCAATACAAGTCCGAATTTAAAGATACAAATGCTTCGGCATATTTTGTCCTTTGAGCTTTAAATTATAATTATAATCATAGCTTGTATCATTGAATTCTCCCATAAAAACTTTTAATTGTTATGTTGAGCTCTACTAAATTAGCAAAGTGGTGTAGGCCCGCCCGACTTTAGGACTTACTTTCCTGTTTTCTTATTTTTTTTTCTTATTTTACATAAAACCTATTCCTTAGGAACTTAAAACTATTTTGACGCCTTTTGATATCAATATTGCCTCTATGGATCCCTCTACGTTCGGTATTATGGCCTTATAAAGATATAGTTTAAGTGTATTAATTTCACCCGCTTTCTTTTCGTTCTTCCAATTAAATATCTTATTAATATAACATAACTAGATATGTAAAAACAACGACTTACCCAAATGGAACAAACGTTCGTACAAATTCAATTGGATACTGAAAAGAAAAATATAATACATTTAAATAAGTAAAAATTTAAAAAGAATAAAAAGTAAATTAAATGAATGTATTTTCTTCTACTTTCTCACCACACCTCATATTGTTTCGTTTCCAACATGTTGCTTTTAAATTCTCTTTGCAACATATTTAAAAATCTTACTCTTCTAATTCCTTTTTGATTTATTGCACACACACACACACCTCTTGAAAATGGAAAACAACAAATCAAAACAAACAAAAATCCCCCTTATATGTAGCTCAGTGTCTGCTAGTGATCCCAAGGGATAGGTGCAAGAGATATGTTTGTTGTGGTGCAGAGAGTAGATAATTCAATAAAAGTAGAGAAGAGTTCAAGTGTTGTGTGGTTACAGCGCACAAACACACACGGTAATGAGGAGTCATTCTCATACATGATATCTGTTCTCAATTAGACAGTGTTTTTGAACAATCAAAAATCAAATATTTATTGGATTAAGAAATAAATCTGAGATTGATTGGGGGCATTTTGAAACTATATTTGTTTGGGATTTGTGACGGATCCAGTTGATCCATTTCAAAGCGCCTCAATATTGTCATTGACAACACAATTGAGTAGCTCTCTATGCAACGGAAATCGATGGATATGATAGTTTGATTTGTCCTTAATTTATAGAATCGAATGAAAAAAATCTATTAAAATAAAATTCCAAAAATTCTGTCTTTGAGAGTAGAATTTCTATCTATAGAATTCCAACAATATAGTTATCGTCTAAAAAACAAGATAAAATTTTTTATAACTCAATTATAACAAGTTAGAAAGTTCCAGTTGGTGTTTCCACAAATATATATCCTCAGCATTTGGAGAAAGGAGAAGTAGTGGCACAATATTTTCCATGTTCGCTCATGACCTAAGTTTGGTATAAATATTACCACGGACCAAATTTCAAGAATTTGGATTTCCCATTTTAAGAGAGTTATTTTGACATTTTGTGGGGGGAAGCGAAGGTATGAGTGCATAAATATGGTCAATTTTCGTTCCCGTAATATACCTTATCAAAGTGTTACCAAGGGATACCCCCAATCTCAATATGAGATATAGAGGGCTTTTTGGAAATTGTTTGAACTTTTGTGGGAGAGGACAAAATTCTATATATATATATATATATATATATATATATATATATATATATATATATATATATATATATATATATATATATATATATATATATATATATATATATATGTAGTCCTCTGCAATTAAAATTTGATATATATATATATATATATATATATATATATATATATATATATATATATATATATATATATATATATATATATATATATATATATATATATATATATATATATATATATATATATATATATATATATATATATATATATATATATATATATATATATATATATATATATCCGAATTCTATATAAGTTTGTTAAATATACGATACAGACAGAAGGACGGGTATGACAAGGTCGATTCAAAATGTCTTTAAACGAGTTTCATCCATGACAACTTTTTGGTCGTATTAAATCTTCTCAAAGAAGACTGTTGGTCTTCTACGAAAAGATCAAGTGGTGTTCTATTGGTCTCGTATTAGAAGACCAACTGCCTTTCTCTGCGAAGATCAACTGATCTTTTTTACGAAGGTGAAATTATATTCTCTACAAGATCAGCAGCTCTTCTCTGAGAAGATCAACTGCTCTTCTCTGAGAAGATCAACTGCTCTTCTCTGAGAAGATCAACTGCTCTTCTCTGAGAAGATCAACTGCTCTTCTCTGAGAAGATCAACTGCTCTTCTCTGAGAAGATCAACTGCTCTTCTCTGAGAAGATCAACTGCTCTTCTCTGAGAAGATCAACTGATATTCTCTGAGAAGATCAACAGCTCTTCTTTGAGAAGATCAACTGCTCTTCTCTGAGAAGATCAACTGCTCTTCTCTGAGAAGATCAACTGCTCTTCTATGAGAAGATCAACTGCTCTTCTATGAGAAGATCAACTGCTCTTCTATGAGAAGACCAATTGCTCTTTTATGAGAAGACCCATTGCTCTTCTATGAGAAGACCAATCTTCTATGAGAAGACCAAGTGCTCTTCTATGAGAATGCAAACTGCTGTTTTCTGAGAAGACCAAGTGCTCTTCTATGAGAATACAAACTGCTGTTTTCTGAGAAGACTAAGTGCTAGATCTGTAAGAAGTCCTGCTGGTCTTCTTTAAGAATACGAACTGAACCCCTATTAAAAACCCTACCGGGTTTTTTTTTATTTTAGAACTTAAATTTTTAATTTCTACCTCTTCTTTCATTTAGCTATTAACATTATGCTGCCAAACACTGTGCCCTGATCTGCATCGTGTGGATCCTATCGTGGGGGTAATGTAGACTCTATTTCCACCTTTGCATGTTTATGCCATGTTAGTGCACCCCATGTGTGTTTATTTGGTTGTTTGCCTGCTCGCTCCACATATGGGAGCGAGTGTGGTGAGAGCACTTTGGGATGCATGAGTGTAGCGGAACGATTCCAACATTTGGTCGTTTCGAACAGCCCCACGACTGGCCAAACACATTCGTGATCAGTTTACTGAAGACGCTGAACGGTGACGGTTGTTTACGATCGCTGAACGCAAGAATTCATTTGACACGTTCGTCTAGCTAGCGTTACGGGCACCCTGTGGAATATTTGAGTTGAAAACTTAAAACGAATTAAAGTTTTGTACGAAAATTAAAACGTTTTATTTTTAACAATTTTTTGGTTTTTGTAAAAAATAGGAAAATCATAAAATTCAAAGAAGCTTGACATCTGAGGTGTCATTGTGTCATTTAGTCCGGCCGAGTGGTGTTTTATGATTTTTGTTAGACGGTTGGTGGCGGCTGGTTCTGTTTTACGCTTCATCGAGCGCATATTAAAAGAAAAAAAAAAACAACAATAAAATAGTTGTCGTTTTGGAATCATCTGCCGGCATTTGAAAGAGGGGAGTAGGTGAATGAAAAATGCCCACAAGAATTAAGGAAATTGAAAATTGAAATATAAAAAATAGTGCTAAAAAATTTATTGCGTTCGCTTTTGTTTTGTGCAAGCGTCAAAAAAATAATAAAAACAAAACACAAAACGAAAAATAAGAGCAATACTGAAAACCTATAAAAATTCAAATTTTATGCCCATTCAGTGTTAAAAGTGATGTATTTGAATACAAATCAAATTTAAATTGCAATCCGAAAAATCGAAAAGAAAACAAAAAGGAAATATTTTGTCAGGTTATTGGCCCACATAGCCACCAGACAATTTCCACGAAAATCTAAATCTAAATTGAAAAAGAAAAAAAAAAAACAATAATTTCAGTATTGAAATCAGTTTCGTTTTTTTTTCTCTAGTGTTGTGAAATTTTGAAATAGTTCTCTGGAAAAGTGTCATCATCGGCATTGCCAGTGTCAGTGTTGTTCTAAGCGTATCGTTCGTTGCATGAGTGATATATGACAGGTTAACGTCTCCACGTCTGGCATTTTGTCGACGACTATTTGCCTGAACATTGTTGTATGTGACGTGTGTGCTGTTGTTGTTGTGCAAAAAAAAAAAAAAAAAAAAACGAAAAACTTCTTCAATTAATTCACTTGTGTCCGTTTTTCTGTTGCAACGTTCGTCAACCATCATTGTTAGCCATTCAGTCAGTTAGCAGCAGCAGTTTATCAGCAACAGTTTTATGAGGTGCTCAATGTTTTTGTAATCGCATCAGGAGCAAATCATAAAAAAACAACAACAAAAAGAAGACAGTCCAGTGACAACTTGGGTGCGTATAAAAATCGTATTGTTTTTTGTTTACAATAGAATTAGCGTTAATATACCCTACCCTGAGGGAACTGAGTATATTTTGAAGGGGCATTAACAACGGATGAGATATAGGGTTCATGAAAGATATTCTGATTTACAAATCGAATTACAACAAATAAAAAAGCTGTAAGTTCGGCCGGCCGAACTTTTAATACCCTCCACCATTTGGCACAAGTTTGGCAATTTCAAAAAAAAAAAAAAAAAATCCGTTAAAAATTCTGTTAAAATCTTAAAAATACCGAATGTCTATACGACGACGTGGACCTGCATAGGCAACTTTTGTCATTAGTTGTTACAATATTACAAATATAAATGCAAAACTTGAAGAAAAACCTGTTTATATTGTAGCTAAAATCATCAAAATACCGAATTTCGACAGGTACCGTTATATGGGGGCTATACGAAAACGTGGACCTGCACGGGCAATTTTCTGGCATGGGATGAAGTATCCATTACGAACTTCACATGCGAAATTTGAAACAATTCCGGTAAATAATGTCGCTAAAATCATAAAAATATTGAATATCGGGGGGTACGGTATATGGGGCTATACGAAGACGTGGACCTACATGGCTCATTTTCTGTTTTATGCAGCAGTATCTATTACGAACTTCAAATACCAAATTTGAAACGATTCCGGTAAATAGTGTCGCTAAAATCATCAAAATACCGAATATCGGGGGGTACCGTTATATGGGGGGTATATGAAGACGTGGACCAACATGGCTCATTTTTTGACTTAGGATGTAGTATCATATACGAACTTCAAATACCAAATTTGAAACGATTCCGTTAAATAATGTCGCTAAAATCATCAAAATACCGAATATCGGGGCGTACCGTTATATGGGGGCTATACGAAGACGTGCACCTGCACAGATAATTTTCTGTCTTAGGTTGTAGTATCCATTACGAACTTCAAATGCCAAATTCGAAACAATTCCGGTGAATAATATCGCTAAAATCATGAATATACCGAATATCGGGAGGTACCGTCATATGGGGGCTATATGATAACTTGGACCTACATGGCCCATTTACGAACTTAACCTGCCTACTGGCAAAATATACATGTGTGCAAAATTTTAGCCTTCTATCTCAATTTTTTCGAAAGATAGCGTGATTAAAACAGACAGGCAGACAGACGGACATGGCTAAATCGTCTTAGAATTTTACGCTGATCAAGAATATACTTTGTTGGGTCTGACATGAGTATTTCGAGAATTTACAAACGGAATGACAAAATTAATATACACTCCATAGTATGGTGGAGGGTATAAAAATTGTAATTCGCTGACTAAATAAACTTGCCAACTCGAAATAAAGGTTTTAGACCCCAGTTCTCTTTAGACAAAATCCTTGTTAGGACATTTGGAGTCGATATAACCTTGTACATCTGTGTGGCAGCTTCGTGTTAGTATTTTTACTCAATCTCAATCGAGATGTAAATATCGGTGCATTCCTTCTGGTATCTCCCCTATAAAAAGTAAAAATTTTGGCAAAAATAACGATGGGAAATCAAGCGTGGAACATGAGAGATCAAACGTGGAACATCGTACTACTTAGAAAATAATATGATCACGTGCAAAAATGTGGAATATTGGTTCACACCTTCCTTTTTTTTTATCAAATTTAGCACATCTTAACAATTTTTATATGTTAGAGGAAGTTTGAAAATGGTCCACTTTTTTGGTACCGCCACAGAGAGGTGTAAACAATAAAAAAAAAACAAGTAAAAAAGCTGAATACCCACCATTTGAAATGAAAAAAAATAAAATCAGTTAAAAATTCTGTTAAAATGGTCTATACGACGACATAAACCTGCATAGGCAATTTTTGTCATAAGCCATCACAATATTCGGTTGCGTAACTTAAAAAAAAATTCGGTGAATAATGTAGCTAAAATCATCAAAATACCGAATCTCGGGAGGTGCCGTTATATGGGGGCTATACGAAGACCTGGACCTGCATAGGCAATTTTATGTCACAGGCTGTAGTAGCTATTAGGAACATCAAATACGACATCTCAGACAATTTCGGTGAGTATTGTACCTAAAATCGTCAATATACCGAACATAGGGAGATGTCCGATGATTATGAAATTTGATGAAAACTAATATAATTTAATTTACCTTTAATTTTTCTCTGGTTTACTACTCCCTCACTCTATCTCTCAATCTCTCTCTCTCTCTCTCTCTCTCTCTTTATTAACCATTTGCAAACCGGAGAAAAGATCACCTTGGTTTGTGTCTTTGCTAATTAAATTTACATTCATCTTGACGGACATACATAGGGAGGTACTGATATGCATAGGCAATTTTCTGTCACAGACTGTAGTTCCCATTACGAACTCTAAATACGTAATTTGAACTACTTCGGTAAATAATGACGCTAAAATCATCCAAAATACCGAATTTTGGGAGGTAACATTATATGGAGGTTATATGAATACGTGCGCCTGCATTCGCAATATTTTGTCATAGGCTATGCACCCTATTACGAATTCTAAATACGAAATTTGAAACAACTCCGGTGAATAATGTTCCTAAAATCGTCATGCAATTCCATTCAAAAATTTGGCTAAAAATATCAAAATACGGAATATGGGATATACTGTTATATGGTGGCTACACGATATCGTGGTCCGATGTAGCCCATCTTCGAACTTGACCTGTCTGCAGACAAAAGACTGATCTGTGCAAAATTTTAGATTCCTATCTTTATTAGTTTTCGCTCTAGCGTGATTATAACAGACGGACAGACGGACATTACTAAATCGTCTGAGAATTTTACGCTGATCAAGAATATATAATATTTCGATGAGTTACAAACGGAATGATAAACTTAATATACCCTCCATACTACGTGTGTGTGGAGGGTATTATATAAAGTTACAAGGCAATATAACTCACATTCATTATGTACAGGGTTGCCCATATTCGACGGACCCATCTGGCAACGCCATAACTTTTGACAGAGATGTCACATCGCTTAATGACATACCGCGTTTGAAGCGTCAGTCCAAGCAGATTTTTACCATGAACCAATACACGCGACGCGAGCGCTCTGAAATAGTTGAAATTTACATTCAACAGAAGAAGTCAATTGTGAAAAAATGTAAGAAGTGCGCCTTCTACGAACACCATCAAGCGTTTATGCGAAAAATTTTCGACTGGTAAGGCTCTTTCTAATCCGAAGAGGCAATATAAAAGTCGACCAAGGCGATCGGCCGAGAATATCGCTGCCGTACGAGCCTGTGTTGAGAGGTCCCCAAGAACATCCCAAAAACGCCGTTCTCAGCAGTTGGGCATGGCTCGGTCTACTTTACAACGGATTATTCGCATTGATTAGCATTTGTTCCCGTACAAAATTCAATTGACGCAAAGAATGTTGCCTGCGGACAAGCCTCGTCGATTGGAATGGGCCCAAAGGTCCGTCGAATATGGGCAACCCTGTAAATGGTTACTGGTGACCAAATGTACTTCATAAGCCCATTACTTGGCAATAAGCCTTTTTTTTGTGGGAAAATTTGAAAAAGTCATAAACTTTGGATGGAAAATTTTTTCCGATGCTGTCTCTGAAAGCTGGCACCAAATATCATTGTTTTTGAGTGCATTTGTTCTCTGTTTATTGGTTTCTTTTCTTCGCTTAGCTCTGCTGAATTTTACCCGTAATTATTCTTATAGCTATATGTTATTATAACGATTATTTTTATTATTAATAGAATTATTAGAATTATTTTATTATTATGTTTTTTTTTTTTTTTTTAACGAAGTATATTTTTCAATCGCTTATACCGCCTCCTATAAATTACTATTTGTTTATTTATTGTTAATTCCATTTTTGCACTAGCGGGAGGTATTATTTGCAATAACAATAATATGAGAACAAACAAATAAACAAAACGAGGAAAAGCTAACGCCAATGACTGTTTAATGCCGTCAAACTATGTCAACAATGTAACACATCGTAAACGATTGGCAAACAGCTTATGAATGAAAAGCCTTTCACACATATTAGGGTGGAGGAAATCGAGAAGGATGCGAATTGGAATTTATTATAATTTATTTTCTTTTTTTTTTATTGGAGACTTATTAAAGTTCTTTTTTATACCCACCACCATACTATGGAGGGTATGTTAATTTTGTCATTCCGTTTGTAACTCCTCGAAATACTCATGTCAGACCCAACAAAGTATATTCTTGATCAGCGTAAAATTCTAAGACGATTTAGCCATGTCCGTCTGTCTGTCTGTCTGTCTGTTGTAATCACTCTATCGTTCGAACAATTTGAGATAGTCGGCTAAAATTTTGCACACATGTATATTTTGCCAGTAGGCAGGTTAAGTTCGTAAATGGGTCATGTAGGTCCAAGTTATCATATAGCCCCTATATAACGGTACCTACCGATATTCGGTATTTTGATGATTTTAGCGACATTATTCACCGGAATTGTTTCAAATTTGGCATTTAAAGTTCGTACTACAGCGTAAGACAGAAAATTTTCTGTGCAGGTCCACGTCTTCGTATAGCCCCCATATAACGGTACACCCGATATTCGGTATTTTGAGGATTTTGGCGACATTATTTACCGGAATCGTTTCAAATTTGGTATTTGAAGTTCGTGATGGATAGTACATCCTAAGTCAAAAAATGAGCCATATAGGTCCACGTTTTCATATAGCAGCCATATAACGATACCCCCCGATATTCGGTATTTTAATGATTTTAGCGACATTATTTAACGGAATCGTCCCAAATTTGGTATTTAAAGTTCGTAATAGATACTGCAGCATAAAACAGAAAATGGGCCATGTAGGTCCACGTCTTCGTATAGCCCCCATATACCGAACCCTCCGATATTCGGTATTTTGATGATTTTAGCAACATTATTTACCGGGATTGTTTCAAATTTCGCATGTGAAGTTCGTAATGGATAGTTCAGCCCATGCCAGAAAAT